AAGCTCTGATGTAATTATGGAGGAGGTTGTACTAAACTCTATAGCAGTAGTGTGAAGTAAAAATCTGCAGCAATTGGGGCAACTGTTTCAGCTGCCCTAAGGACACTGTGCCATTGGTGGGATTCTGATTGGAAAACTGCAGGAAGAAAAGTATTAAATCCCCCCCCACACACTGTGGTCCTGATCTGAATGCAGCAACAGTTTTCCTTAAAAAAAGAAGCAAAAATGCGTTCATGACTTGGAATCCTGGAATAAAAAAACCCTGGAATCCATTTTCAGTATGCTTTGACTTCAGCACATACACTTCTTTGGCCTCTCCTGCTTTTATTTCTAGCTTCCTTTTTCTTTGTATGTGTGTTTATATTTTCCCTCCCTTTTATTTTGTGTATATACACATAAGTGTCAGTCACATCAATAGTATTGTTGTGGTAGGAAGAAAAAAATAATTAATGGCCTGGACATACAGATGTTGTAAACGTGCTTTGAGTGGGTATTTTCATGATGCAGTTTTAAAAACTGAAATATTACCATTCTTTTTTCTTCTGAAGAACTTCTGAAGCCTCAAAATGTAACAATTAATAAAAAAAGGTGGCTGGAGATTTCTATTTCTTTAAAAACAGAACAAAACCATGCTATGTCACATAAAATTCCAGACTTCTTCATAACGGGACAGGATAAAAGCCGGAATAGCCCAGAATGGGCATTAAACAAACAATAGTACTGCAAACCACAGTGGGGAAAATTACACACACTTGAGAACAATATCTTAGAAAAGAAAACATGGAACTCTCATACTTTTATTAACCCATTATAGGCCAAAATGCCTCTGAACACCACAGAACAGGCTGGAACAAGCCTTGAACAAACAATAGTACAGCAAAAAGCAGTGGGATGCATTACACATACTCATGAACAATATTTTAGACATGAAAATGCAGAACTCTCGCACTTTTATTAACCTCCCCCATGCCACAATTCCTCCAAAACACTCTGTAACAGGCCAGAACAGAAGCTAAAAAACTAATTTTACTGCAAAAAACAGTAAAGAACTCAAGAACAATATTTTAGATATAAAAACATGGACAACTTATGCTTTTATAAATTCTATTGTAGCTAAAATACCTCCAGAACACACTGGAAGAGTCTGGAACAGGCATTAAACAAACAATAGTACCACAAAGAACAATGGGATGCATTGCAGACTATTTAAGAACAAGATTTTAGAAATGAAAATGCAGAACTTTCACACTTTTATTAATCTTTTCTCAGCCAAATGCCTCCTGAACACCCTGGAACAAGGCCAGAATGGGCATTAAGCAAATGATAGTACCACAAAGAACAGTGGGATGCATTACAGATACTTGAGAACAATATTTTAGAAATGAAAAAGGTGAAATGTCACACCTTTATTTGTTGGGAGTTGTACAGGATTCTGCCCCTAAAGCCTGTCCAGGAACGAGAGGGAATCCTATACTTTTACAATACATTAAACAACAACCCACAGAGGTAGGCTACCCTCTCTGGATTCAGAACAATAAGCCACCAGAACCTCTTTTAACTAGAGTCCCCGTCCAGCCTAAGAGCAAGGTTCAGATTCTTAGCTGGCATCTGGGTTTTACACATTAGCACCTCTATCTAGAGATGCACGCTTAATTCTTACAAAGGTAGCTCATAGGGTGAGCAGAAGGCACAGGAGTTTAGCCTTGGAACTCAGTTACACATCAGAGACCATTTTAAAACAAGAATAAGTTTTTAATCAACACAGAGCATTGCAATTAGACCATAAAGATTTCAAAATAACAAGCCTAAGGCAGTTTGCCTTAACTGAACATTAATGCTTCATATTTACCATGTCAGGAACATCTACAGTCCAGGGTTCCAGGGGATCTTGAAGGGAAAGCCCATTTTTGCACACCATGTGCTCCAGTTACCAAGCAGATCTTTGTTCTCCCAAAGACCACATGTCCAGGTGCAATAAACCAACAAGCAGGGAGCAGAGAGCTCACGAACAGGAACAAGAACACAAAAGCAGCAGAGAGAACCGAGCTCTCTCCCATTGGGAATGACCAGTTATAGGCCCATTCCAGTCACAAATTAGCTCTGGCCAGGAGCCCATTGCGAGTGGGCAGGGGAGTGGCCAATTCTTGGTTGTCATGGGTGCAAGTGGGGATAGGCTGGACGTCTGGAGACTCCCTCTGCAGTCAGGTGACCCCAAACTCCAGTCTCCCCATCGGCTACGTGACTTTTTGCACTCTGGCCTAGCTTCCAGCATGGAAGTGTGAAGAATGTGTGGTTATATGGCAGGGCTATAAAGTTTCTCGGCCAAATGTGCAGACCATTTGGCTGGCAACAGGAAACATGTTATCAAAAGAGATCACAGGAGAATGCAGGAGACATTTAGAAATCAATATTTCTATACAGGAGTAAAGTGGCTCAGCATGTGGGATTGCTCCATTTTTCTAAATGTGCATATATGTTATCTTCTTAATGAATGGGATGCTTCTTTTTGTCCAACTTGGGAGCTTCTTTCTATTAGAATACCATTTCTGCCCCTCAGGTGTTTTGTTAGAAACTTCCCAATTTCAGTTTGATTTCCTATGTAGTGTGGGGGCTTGTATTGGGCTGGGTGACACCAACACCATCTTTGCTACATGCTGGTGCTTGGGTGCCCTGAGAAAGGACAGTATTAGCTGCTCTCAGTGTAACTTTCTCCCTCTCATGCTAATTAGCAGCCCTTATCTTCAAGACTGGGGTTATTCCTTCCCCCACCGGAAGCAAGGTGCAAGATGGCCTGGTTCCTCCATGTGTTTGGGATAGCTTAATTAATCATTCTTTGACTGGCAGCCAGCATTTATGGTATAAGATGTGTAATTTTAGCTATGTACTTGGTCTCAAGGTTTGGCTAAACTTCACTGTACATGTGTGCATCTTGAGGCCAGCTGATTGGAGGTTAGCCTACATCTTCTTTGATAACTCAGATGGGTTATTAAAGATCTCCTCATAAGTAAACCCAGCTCTCTTGTGTCAGTTTTTGGGGAACTTCTGCGAACCTATTGTTATACGCACAGTTTATGAAACACTGTTATGCACTCAGCAGCACTCTGTCTGACTTAGTAGGCTAACCTTAGTGGACTCAGCACCTCTGACATACACAGACATACAGATATGTTAAGTGCCATTGATGATTCTAATCACAGTAACTGAAATTAATCATGAACATATATTCAGATAATTTCTTTGGTTCATTGCTTAAAATGTATGCTGGGAAGAAAGCTAAAATGCTAATAGACAGTTATGCTAACCGTGACCTTGCTTGCTACAGCCAGCTTTAACTGCGCATGTTCCTGACGCTAGTGAATTTATGAGATGTACCCATCGCTGCTATATTAGATTCTTATATTAGACAAACCTAATGGCCAGAACAGAGAAAGGCCTATTGTTTGATAGGAGGTACCGTTTTGCATGGGAAACTACAGCCCCCCAGGTCCAGGCCCAATCAGAGTTGTGACTGACATATGACAAAGTTTGATGGAACCAATAATTGTGATTTATTTCTACAGTGTCATATGGAGTATAAAACCCTATGTCTCCCATTGTAGCTCTAGGGAGAGTTGTGGGATCTAAAACATTATTGGATTTACACCTTCCTCCTTTATTGATCAATAAAGTACAAGATCAGATTGTGCTGTACAGGATTGTGCTGTTTTTTCAAATTGGGCTGGGGATTATTTTCTGTTTGTCACTATGGAGCCCCCGGACAGGGTCCGTAACAGGTCTCAAATTTTGTATGCCATGCCGAATCACCTGTGCTGGAAAAGGTTTAATAATTAGGGTGGCCAACCACCAGGTGGTAGTTGGAGATATCCATGGATTACTTCCCCTGGAGAAAATAGCAGCTTTGGAGGATGGATATACCCAGGGGTCTTGTTGTAGAAAAAGAGCTGCCGGAGCTCATTAGCATAACTCATTAGCATAACTTATTTGCATATGCCACGCCCCCTGACATCACCGGAAGTGACAGAAGGCCACACCCCCTGACATCACCGGAAGTGTGTCAGAAGGCCCGGCTACTTACCCTCCTGCTTCATCCTCATTCCCAAACGGAATGAGGATTGAAGCAGAGGGCGGGGTAAAGAAGGGGGTGGGGCTTCACCACGTGACCGCCCCGCCCCCTAGAGGTTCTCTTCCGGAGCTCCGTACCTGAGAGCTCCCCCCGACTAGAGCCCTGGATATACCCAGCTAAAGTCACTCCCCTCCAAAAATTCCATGTTTCCCATATTCCATTTCCCAAACCTGAGTTAGCAACCCTGCAAATCAAAGGGTGAAATGTCAGTGTTTCATTTCTAAAATCTTGTTCTCAAGTATTATAAGTGTTATTAATACATACACTGTTTTCTTCCGCACCATTTTTAATGCTAGTTCCAGTCTGTTCCAAAGTCATTTCACTGGAAAAGGGTGAATAAAAGTGTGTCATTTCAGTGTTTTCATTTGTAAAATACTGTTCTCAAATGACTGTAATGCATCCCGCTGTTTTTTTGCGGTACTATTGTTTGTTCTGATCCCTGTGCTGGGATGTTCCAGAGGCATTTTGGCATGTAAGGGGTTAATAAATTGCTAGAGTTCCACATTTTCTTTTCTAAAACATTGTTATCGAGTGTCTGTAATGCATCCCACTGTTTTCCCTCCCAGTACTATTGTTTTGTTTAGTGCCTGTTCCAGTGTGCTCCTGAGGCATTGTGACCTGGGATTAATAAAGGTGCCAGAGTTCCGCATCTTTCATTTCTAAAACATTGTTCTCAAGTGTCTGTAATACATCCCCCCCTCCTTTTTTTTTTCTTTTTTTTTGCGGTGCTGTTCTGTGTTTAATGCCCCTTCCGGCTTGTTGCAGGTGCATTTTGGCCTGGAAAGGGTTACTAAAAGTGTGAGAGAGTTCCTAGTTTTCATTTCTGAAATATTGTCCTCGGTTGTGTGTGTGTAATGCATCCCACTGCTTTTTGCAGTACTACTGTTTGCTTAACGTCCGTTCCGGCTTTTACCCTGTTCCCCTTCATAACCGCCGGCAGCCTCTTTCTTCCGCGTGTTCTGTGGCGCAATTCAGCCGACGTTTCAGTTCCCTCAGCACAAGCGAGCCCAAGCGGGCGAACGGCGGAAAGAACAGGGCGAGGCAGAGCGCAGGGCCCGCCTCAGGGGAGCCGCCTCAGTCGCTGCGAGTGGTTGCCAAGACACTTCCCGTCCTAGGAGGCCGAAGCGGCGCCCTCTCCCTGCCCCAAATCTTCGCAGAAGGACTCCGCGGCGGCCCGATGGCAACACCAACGGTGCGGACCTGCCTCCCGCGCGCCCTGAGCCGACTGCCGCAGAGGCTGTGGAGCCAGGGTCGGCCAGCCGCCCCCTGGGGGTCTCCCTTCGCCCGCCTCACCAGCACCGGCAGCTCCACCACCAGCAAGGGCGGAGAGTCCCGAGGTCGGCCGAGCGCCCCCTGCCTGGAGGGAGACTACCGGGAGTTGCGCGAGCGGGCGCTCAGGGAGCCTGGGCCCTTCTGGGGGGCGCTGGCGCGGGGGACGCTGCTGTGGGACACCCCGCACCACACCGACTGCGAGTGGGACTTCGCGCGGGGCCATGTCCGCTGGTTCCTGGGCGGCCGCTTAAATGTGGCGGGTAAGAAACGCCCTGACCACCCCCACCCACACAAACACCTTTATTCTCTTCACTCCCCGTTTTCTCCCTTCTCGTTTCCCGTCCTTCAGGCACCTTGCCCTGTCGTCCTAAGTAGAGTAACACCCGTCTAATTCCACCGAAGTCGAGGGGGTTTGGAAGGATGTAACAGTGCTTAGGCTGGCGCTGTAAACTACAGGGGGCAGTAAAAACAGTTGTAGCCTAAATACAGCTGCAGTACAGAAAGTGCAAGGGTTTGACAGTGAAAGGTGGTGGTGGGTCTTTATCTAATACTGGGAAGTCCAACCCAATTTATGTGGAAACCCTGCCCTCAAAGTTCAGATGTTCCTCGTGTGCTGAATGATATGCTGGTTACTTGCTGGTAAAGACTGCTCTGTTACTGCCACCCTCCTGCAGAATTATATTCAAGGATGTGAAAACTGCAGAAGTGAATAAGGTATCTTTCTTAGAAAGCATTACGAAGCTTGATGCTCTGTTTCCTCCCCATATTCCTTTTACAGAGAAACTGTAAGGAGTGCTCATCTTGTAAAAAAAATTGTGGCAGCACTGCACTAACAAAATACCAAAGTATTTGTATAGACTACATGCTGTGTTTAATTCCTCTGCTTTGGAATGCTTTCATTCCCTTGAGGAGTGAGAAGGTAGGCAATTTGAGGTTCAGGTCATGGGTGCTGCTGAGAGCCCACACTTTAAGGGCAGGTTAAATGCCATCTAGTTAAAAGCATCTCAAATAGCATGGCCTCCAGATCTTTTTTTCTGACAGAAACCCTTGCAGAGGTGCTGCCTGTCAACATGGTGCTGAGTTAGTTGGTCTGATAGTCTGGCAGTATAACATATTTTAATAATGCTCATCTGCTGACCCTCCTATTGTCGCCCATACAAACTACTGTGATCTTGCAGCTAGCATAAAGCATGCTGTTACTGTCTTTCAAGACTTTTCTGTTGTTTTTCCTTGTACAATTAACATGCAGTTATTAGTTATTCCTTGTGGTGGATCCATATGTTTGTCTTTGAAGTGTACGTGCAAGGAAAGTGTATTTTTATGCCCCCAATCGAGAGTTCATTAGCTTTATCATCTAGTCCCATTTTGCCATTTGATGATTCTTCTAATTTTAATACTGTTTTTTGACTTGGTGTTGCTTGCTTTGGACTCATTTGGAAGAAGTAGGAATAAAATGGTGTAAATAAGTAAAAATTAAATCTCCCCAACACACAAACAGCAACTGATTCCTGGTCAACCCCAAGCATGCTTCTGCTAAACTTTGGACTGGCCCACGTGGATTCTGACTTCTGCTCTGACCCATACATTGTTTCAGCTGTGCCCTTCAACTCTGTGTCTGTTTCTGATCCTCTAGTTGCTTGACTTGCATTACTGTACTCTGTATGATCTGCCTCACACTTCAGGCATCTAGCACTAACTACTAGAATACCTATGAATTTGTTAGTAATTATACTAACTATATGCATTCCATATAGTGTATGAAATGGTGATGGACTGCTATTAAATGACATTCCAGTTTGTTTGTAAAGCCCGGTTTCTCTGCTTCTTGCCTCCTCTCCCCTTCACCCAACTAGAAACATCATTCACCTTACTACTGTGCCTACAGGCAGGCAACCACAAAGGGCTGATGCTGCTCAACAAACTGGTTTGTGAATTCAAATGCCACAATAAACTGTTTGTGCAGAGAATCAAGTTAACAAATCAGTGACAGAACCTGCATTGGCACCTGGATCACTTTCATTTGGACAGCACAGCTGAGCAGGGTTAGATCAAACCACAGCTTATTAACCACAGCTGATCATGACATCTGAATGTTGCCAAAGTTTAAGCTCATCTTATAGATCAGGGGTGGCGAACACGTGGCTCTAGAGCCGCATGCGGCTCTAGAGCCACGTGTTCGCCACCCCTGTTATAGATCCTCTCTTGCTCTTATTGCCTCTTTCCTCCCTCTGTTTTCCTCTCTACCCAAAACATCTAAAATTAGATTCTAAATAACGTGGCGCAGATTTGCCTTTTGCTTATATCAGTTTGTAAATCACCATGTATGCTAATATCACTACGTAAATGAATATATGCCACAGGCACAGAAGGGAAACATATTGCTAATCACTGGAATTTTCACACATTACTTAAAAGGTGCCCTGTGACACCTGTGCAACCACAATCCACATGGCATTCCAAACAATATAAATACTAGCTGAGAATAAAGTATTGTTTTACGTAGTGACATAGTAGTGACATAGTTACACAGTTGCTGTTTGGAAATCCTTAAAATTTCCTGGTGGCAGCAGAATCTACCCTATTAAACAAAATAAAGAGAACTTTTAAGGTGAAACTAGTCCTCCCCAATAACTAGTCCTTTAAGGTGAAACTAGTCCTCCCCTGAGCCCTATGGGGGAGGGCGGGATATAAGTTTAATTAATAAATAAAAATAAATAAATAAATAAATGAGGACGTCACAGAAGGTAACAGCGTTCTATGCGCCTTGGCATTTAGTCATGCTGGCCACATGACCATGGAAACATTTTCAGACAGCGCTGGCTCTTCGGCTTTGAAACGTAGATGAGCACCGCAACCCTAGAGTTGTATTCGACTGGCTTTCGAGCAAGGGAAATCTTTACCTTTACCTGAGTGACTTAGCATGTGTAGTGATAAGAAGCTGATATCTCTGTTAGCTCTGGGGTTCCATTGTCCTGAGTGTTGTAATAACTTGTATTGCAAAGGAATTTCATAAACAAACTGGAATTATTATAACACTCAGGACAATGGAACCCTCAGGTCTTAACAGAGATATTGGGTTTTTATCTCACTAAACATGCTAAGTCAGTTCTCGCTTATATCCAGAATTAAACTTTGTTGGTCTTACACATGCTAGAAGCCTTTTCCACCAAAAGGCTTGCAGCAAGTTTTAGCTCTAGAACATTCCTTTTTAGAAATTAGCCAATGTTCAACAAAAAAACAAAAAACAAAGATGGGATGAAGTTTTAAATCCACAGTGACCCATTATAAATTAAATTACTCTTAATTCTTCCCAAGGGAGATAGTGTCCTGAAGCCTGTGTTAGCTGTTGCTGCGTCAACAGCATCTTTTATCACAACAACAAAAGTCATGTCTTATCTGGCAAACAGAACGGAGCTTTCTGGGAGATAATCTACATATTCAACAAAAGCATCAGCTACAATAATTCTTGGATGATACTAGTACATAATGTAGGTGAGGAGTAGCATGACTGATGCTACTGCAATTGGTACGGCACTGGAATTGTATGTTCTGGATGACTAACCCCAGACAGTGCTCAGCTTACTTCATTATAATGATCTTAGACTTATTCTGGGGAAAGCTACAGTGAAATAATAGGTAACATTTTCCAGAAATGCCACAGTCTTTTGCATTTTCTGCGTTTTACAAGTTAATGTTCTACAGGGCAGGTGCCTTAAATAATTACACATAGGTGGTTTATTATGAGAATTCACTGGAACAAAGTAACCACATTAAAAAGTCATTGGTCATGACCTAGTGAAGCAGGCAGTGCTGCTGGCAACTTCCATTTGTTTTAATAGAGCTTGCGGTGCAGCACTGCCTCATGGATTATGTCTTTGTTAATATTCACAGCTGTTCTGTTAGTTCCACTTAAGAACATAAGAGGAACCCTGCTGGATCAGACCAATAGTCCATCTAGTCCAGCATCCTGTCTCATACAGTGGCCAACCAGTTCCTCAGGAGGGCCAAGAACAGGGCATAGTGGCTGAGACCTTCCCCTGCTGTTGCCTCCTGGCTCTGGGATTCAGAGGTTTAGTGCCTCTGAATGTGGAGGTTCCCCTCAGTCACCATGGCTAGTAGCTATTGATAGCTATTGAATCCATCTAATCCCCTTTTAAAGTTGTTTATTCCTGTTGCCATCACTACATCCTCTTGTAGCAAATTCCACATTTTAATCCCTCTCTCTGGCTGTGGTCACACCAGCAGTTTGCAGTGATATGGTTGTGGTACCTTCGTGGATTTAAAGAGCATGATCATCAACGACATCTGCCTTCCGTGCTTCAGTCGTGGCCACCCCATTTTGCCCCGCTTCAGAAGCAGAGTAACCAGGCACTGGGGAAAGTGTGGACTTTACTGATGCCAGTGCTTCCACTCTGCTTTTCTGGCTGTCTGAACTCCCCTGTCACGAACTGAGGCCGTATGGGAAGTCCGAACCAGCAGATTCATTTCTGCTGTGTGGTTGTTTTTTTTAGTAGCTGCCAATATTCGCATAAGCGCAAGAGTGCATATGTGCATGTGCCTGCTGTTTGGTGTAGTGGTTAAGTGTGCGGACGCTAATCTGGGAGAACCGGGTTTGATTCCCCACTCCTCCACTCACAGCTGCTGGATGACCTTGGGCAAGCCATAGTTCTGTCAGAGGTGTTTTTGAAAAGAGCAGTTTCTGTCACAGCTCTCTCAGCCCCACCTACCTCACAGTGTGTCTGTTGTGGGGAGGGGAAGGGAAAGGAGTTTGTAACTCCAGGTCTCTGTTCCCTGCTTGAAGGGGGGGGCTTGACCATCCCATTATCTAGACCTATTAGCATTTGTATGAAGGTGGGCTGGGGTAAATCTGTAAAACAACTAAACTGACTTCCTCCCTTACTGCCTGTTCTCTGCCCAGAGAGTGGGGAAAAACTTTTAAAACTCAGAGTGAAGGTTTTGCTCATTTCAAACCCCCAAAGAAAAAATGTGTTTCTTCACAGCTTGTACAACGCAATCTCATTTATTTTAATGAATTCTGAAATGTTGAAAATATCTGGATTATCAGAGTTTAAATCTGTGTTTTCCAGTATGGTGCCCATGGGTTCTGTGGTGCCTGCCAACACCTTTGCTGGTGCCGGCCAAGTGTTTTTAGAAAGTGGGAGGGGCTTTTCTTCAGCAAGGCTTCTGATTGGCCATTGGTGATTTGATTGGCCGTGCAGATTTTTTAAAACGTTGCTTTGGCAGCAGCGCAGCCTGTAGGTAAGCTGCAGTAGCCATTTTGTGTCTGGTTCCATGTCCTACAGCAGCTATTTTTGTGGCTATGCACACCATACCGTGTTAGAATTCTAAAGGTGCACATAGATTCAAAAAAGTTAGGGACTTCTGGTTTAGATAAATAGGACTGCTTTTTATTCAGGGTCATGTTAACCTAGATGGGTATAGATATACAGGAGCTTTTGAACTTCCACGCTAGGGCAGTAACGATTTTACTAGATGAAATGCCAAGCATCAATTCAGACAGCCAAAAGTAAACCTTCCGAGTAATAAATATTTGTGATTATATAACTACTTCCTAATGATTTACTATCATTCTGATCCAGAAAGGAGATCTGTGCTTGGAAGCAGTTCTACTCATGGATTCTCTTGCTGGATTGAGAACTGTGCATATAGATCTGTTGTGCATCTGGATTCAGATGCTTCCCACCTGCAGTGCTCTAAGTTTGGATGGGCATGTACATGTTCAGATGGGAATATGAATCCAGATGGGAATATGAATCCCCCTGCACAGTCACTAGTTGTGTGCTATACCTTGCTGCCTTTGACTAGATCTGGATTGGGCCTATGTGTTTAAAAATGTATCTAGTTAAACAACATTTATTTTTGTATGATTTTATTTTTTGAATTTGTATATTCCCTTCTCCTAACAGCACACCATAATTGATGTCTTAGACACTTTACCTCATTAACATATGAGATGCTATGATTTGCAATTTGTTTATGTATAGTTAACTGCTTGGACCAGCATGCACACCAATCTCCGGACAGAGTGGCTTTGATCTGGGAAAAAGATGAGCCTGGCACTGAAGAGAAAATTACTTACAGGTATGGTACTGTGCTCTCACTTTACTTCAGAAAGCATCTTGTAAAACAACTGATAATATTTACTACTAGCTAGAAGAGCTGGTTCACTCTTTGTATAATTTTTTTCACTTTTCTTGATAATGGCCAGGCCAAAGAATTTACATAATACAGAAATAGTGGCAAGTGCAGCAAATTTTTTAGCAGTGTAGTTTCCAAAAGGATAGATTAGGAGTTGCCTATGGAATGATGGGATGTTTGGGGATGGTTCAGTATGATTGCCCCAGACAGTCTCTCTGTCTGAGAGCTGATTCACATGTTCTAAAATCCTTGTTGTCTCCCTTGGTCTTTGATCAAATATGTTCTGGGAGTTCTATGCTTAGAACTTAATTGCCTGGTGTATGTGAGACCAGTTCAAATTTGGAGTAAGGGGATAAGGGAGTTAAGCCTTGGGTTGTTTCAAGTTGTGAAAATGGGAAAATGGGCTCAGGCTTTTAAAGTGGCTGTCCCATTCCTCTGGACAGTTTCCTGGAAGAGGTTAGGGGGCCTCTACTCTCTCTAGCTGTTATGGAGAGTTTTGTGGGCATCCTGGAAAAAAGGATGTTGTCTTTATTTTATTATTTATTAATTTAAATTATTTATACTTTCTCAAAGAGACCCAAGGCGGATTACACAATGTAAATCAATGGAATCAATAGGGCAGTATGTCTAATAAGCACTAGGAATTGCACTAGGACCAGGAGTAGAAATTGCAGGATTTTTTCTGAACAAAGCATTCATATTAAACATGACTTGTTCAACAATGTAGAACGTGGTATTACATCAGTAGAAATGCAGTGCGTTTTTCTGGACCATTCTATTACCATGTAGACCTTTTCCCTTTATCAAAATGCCCTCCTGAACTATTCTTTTACATATAGTTTGCGAAATACCAGGAGTGTGGGAGTCTTCCTGATCTCCTTGAGCAAGTTGTTCCACAGGGCCACTCCAGAGAAGGCACACGTATGGGCAGCTGTTGTTCTTGCCCATCTGCAGGACAGCACCTGCAGAAGACCCTGCTCAGTTGAGCGGAATTGTCATGAACAGACATAAGCAGAGAAGTTGTTTTGCAGATGTGACAGTTCAAGGCCATGAAGCATTTTGTATATGAGAGCCAATACCTTGAATTAGTAACTTTTGGAAAGCCAATGGAGTTGATTGCAGAGTTGATGTAATATGGATGTTCTGCCCAGCTCCCGAGGATAACCAAGCTGTCAAGGTTTTTTAATACTGTTTCAGGGCTCTTTTTGTAGAAAATCCCCAGCAGGAACTCATTAACATAATAGGCCACACCCAACAGCAGGAACTCATTAGCATATTGGGCCACACCCCTGACAGCACAGCTCATTAGCACATTAGGCTGCACCCCCATGTTACCAGAAGTGTGCTCATCCAGCCACACCCACCTTTTGCTTGTTATTCTGTTTACCTTGTTTGTTGTCCAGGGCTTTTTTTGTAGCAGGAACTCCTTTGCATGTTAGGCCACACACCCCTAATGTAGCCAATCCTAATGAGTTCCTGCTATTGGGTGTGGCCTATTATGCTAATGAGTTCCTGCTGGGCGTGGCCAACTTGAGAGCCAGCCGGAACTCCGTTCCTGTGCGTTCCTGCCCAAAAATAGCCCTGACTGTTGTTACCTGCTTTGAGATACTTGGGGAAAAGGTGAGCATATAAATATTTTAAATAGATAGAGATGGTGAAGTTGAACCTAAAATGCTGGTCTAAAGCCTGGGTTTTTTACCCCTCAGCTTGCTCCCTTTCTGGAGAGATAGGGAAGGAGGTTGCCACATAAGGGTTATACTGGGAGCTATGCTAGTTTTGTCAGGAGATGCTCCTTTTGTTAGAAATTCGATTAAGAGGGCTTCTGGATCACTGTATCTGATGGCTGGGTATTGTCTTGGAGATCTGTTAAATATTCTAAGATGTTTGCTGATATCCCACAAGTGCTCACTGTCCTGATCTCATGGAGTCACAAGACAAGATCCTAGATTGTACAGTTTGTTATGGGGTTCAGATTGCCTCTCTATGCAGTACCATTTTATTAGATTTTGTTTCCTTATGGATTCCTGACAGGGTCTGGAGATGATCAAGAGAGAGTCTCCCCTATACCCTTGTAATGCTTCATGGTCCTGGGCTTATTGGGATTTGGGGGTAATGCATTACTTCATGTCCTTTTTGGTGGTTGCTTGGCTTCCATTGCCTTATCCTCATGGAATCTTGGCTTCCATTGCCTTATCCTCTCTGTGGTTTGATTTCTCCTGGTTGAAAACAACAATACAGGATGTTTGTTAATTTTCTTATTTGATATTTCGTTAAGTATTTTAAGGTAAGAAAAATATTAAGAAAAGATTTTAATAGAGGTGAAATGTAACATGTTTTGTTTCTAAGGGACAATGGAAAGTATTGCTATAAATGGGGGGGGGGGGGAACAACCCAGACATATTTCTGCAATCTGCATGTACTCAAATATGATATAGGGTTTCATCCAGAAGATAGGTTATGTCCATTTTACAGAGAAAGCATGGAATTTAAAATTGTAATCAATGCCTAGTAAGTTGGGGCTTCGCCAGTATAGGAGTGTGCATGTAGATATACCCGAGCCAAAAATCCACCTGAAAAATACTGGGGAAACACCCCACCCCCCCCAATCCTGGATCTATTTGGGAATTACTGGGTAGATCCAAAATCAGTGGAAAGGCTCCTGCCTCTCTGTCTTTTGTGGAGCTTCTGTTGCAGACCCTTTAAAGTTTAAAGAGACTGCAGAAGACAGCCTGAGGATTGGCTGTGCTGGTGGGGAACAGATTGTTCCCTCCGGTTTGGCTTGGGGCTGGCTTCTTATGCAGTCTGGTTTAAACCAGGCTGCAGAAGAAGCCGGTCCCAGGATCTGCTTATGCCGCTGGGAGCAGATTGCTCCCTGCAGGCTGGCCTTTTTGTTGGCTTCTCCTGCAGTCCGGTTTAAACCGAACTACAGGAGAAGCCAGCCCTTCCAGAATCTCCTGTGCCATGCAGAGTAATGCGTTCCACGTGGCACAGCAGCTCCTGGGGCTGGCTTCTCCTGCAACCTGATTTAAACTGGACTGCAGGAGAAGCAAACCCAAGCAGGATCAGCTGTGCCTGCGGGGAACAGATTGTTCCCATCCAGCTCGACTTTGTGTTGGCATCTCCTGTAGCCCGGTTTAAGACCAGGCAATATGAAGTATAAAAACTGGGGAGAAGGAGGGACCTGTGCAGATGTATTAGGTACCAGATTGTTTTAAAGAAATAGGGATATATATGTTTGTGTGTGTCTGTGTTTACTTTACAAGACAATGTTGAGCAAGTGTTACAAACCCTATGAAAGCACTTGTTCAGATTGCATGGAGCTGGCCACTGGGCAGGGCAGGGCCTAGTTCTGTGGTGGGGAACCTAGAAGGATTTGTGGAGGGCACTTAGGGCTGCCAAGTGGGGGCGGGGGGGGAACCCTGCTTTGGAGGCCCGATTTCCGCCGCGGCGGAATCGGGCCCCAGGGGGAACTCCGCCCCCCGAAGCTGCGTCACCAGAGGTGACGCATGACGTAGAGCACGTTGGGGGTGTGACCCAGATCGTCGGGAGGGGAAACCATATGGTTCCCCCCCCGACGATCTGGGCCATGCCACCAACGTGCTCTACGACGTGTGTCACTTCCTGTGACGTTCTGGCGGCGCACACGTGCGAAGCGCACGCGGCACACGCTTCCCGATGCAGCTCCCGGATCAAGAAGATGCTCCCCCGCCGGTGAGTCAAAAAGACGTGGCAACCCTAAGGGCACTTCACTTTCCCCCTGTGTACTCCCCCCCCCACTATTTTCTCTTTTCCTTCTCCTGGAACTTTTCTGTGCTTCCTTTCTTCCTACCCACCCACCTTTTATATTTTCCCATCTTCAGCTATATTAATTTCTTAAAGCTACAGACACAGCTTCTTTCATTTTGGGTTTTAACCCCCCTCAATGTTGTTTTTTTTAAGATTTCAGATTTTTCTGCAGCCTGGGGCTTTTTTTGGCTTTGTAAAAAGATATATCTTGCCTGTTCATGGCTCTTATCTCCACATTTAAATATCCACAGATGGGGCCATGTGAATTATATCTACAGATACATGAAGAAAAAAATCGTATGTGTATTCTATATTATCACAGAATAGCACAAATAAACTTTTCAGGTTGTATAGAAGTTAGCTTCACGTGTTATAAAATGAGAAATAATTGACTTCTGTAGATCATAAAATACGTAGTGGCCTGTATCCAATCACAGAAAGACAACCTTAAGTTTTGTTTAGCAGGGCAGCAGTTTCTGCTGATTCCCACCTCCCACAGCAACCCATTGAGCCTCTCAACATTTAGTTCCTGGGGATCAGTGGACTCTCAGAAATACCTTGGAGGGTGTCTGCATTGTGAGGGGGGAATCAGAGGAAATCGTTGCCTCATCTTAAGAAAACACAAGAGTCCCTATGTCTTTGGAATGTGGTTAAAAACAGGTGGATGATAGCTAGATCATAAAATGTATAATGATACCTGTTCACCTGGGACAACCTTGCAAGTTTGTGCAGGTTCAGTGACTGAAATTCTAGCTGAGCAATTCTGAACAGGCTTTTACTTTCAAAATCCATTGAAATCCACGGACTTAGAAGGGTGTAGCTTAGAATTGTACTGCAAATTTCCAACTTCAGCATGCCTAATGTTACGTTGGCAACTGGTCAACTTTATATTGAAATATGACATGTTGATTATACCTGTGACAGGTAGTTCTTAGTCCAAAGCCATGAAAAAACTTATTTGGTGTAGTGGTTAAGTGCACAGACTCTAATCTGGGAGAACCGGGTTTGATTCCCCACTCCTCCACTTGCAGCTGCTGGATGACCTTGAGCAAGCCATAGTTCTGTCAGAACTGTTCTTGAAAGAGCAGTTCTCAAAAGAGCTCCCTCAGCCCCACCTACCTCACAGGGTGTCTGTTGTGAGGAGGGAAAGGGAAAGG